AAAAATTCTAATGAATTCAAGTTGAGCTACCAGGGCAAATGTCTCATCAAAGTCAGCTCCTTCAACCAAAGTATATCATTGGGCAACTAACTTAGTCTTGTTCATAGTTATGCTACCTTGATTACTGGTTTTATTCTTAAATATTCACTTAATACCTATAACATTACAATCATCAAGCTAAAGGATAAATACAATACATTGTTTCTCACAAACTGATTTAGCTCCTCATACATTGCATTTACCCAACATTAATTAATCACTAAGGGCATCTTCGACTTTCTTAAGCACAATCTGAGACACATAGTTAGCAAATGTTAGGTTGTTTAGAACCCTCTTACGAAGTCTCATCCCTTCATCTAAATCCCCAATAATATTTACCTTAGGATGGTTAGACTTAACTCTAGACGAAGGTTCCTTAGGAGATTTAGTTTTATCACCAGTTGAGGACTCCTTATTGGATGTATCTAGACCTTTAGAAGAGTATGAGAGATCAGAAATTGAAGTTTCTTTAAGTTCAGTTACCGTGACAGGATCTACTCAAGTGATCTACTCTTCACAATCTCCTCCAATCTTCCTCGTTCAACAAGCATCAACTATCACGACATTGATGGACTCCATCACAACCTGAGTACGAGAATTGTATACTCGATATGCTCGACTATTTCTCTAGTATCCTAGGAAAATTCTCTCATCACCCTTGGAGTCAAACTTGCCAAAATTATCTTTATCTCTTAGAATATAACACTTGCTGCCAAACATACGAAAGTACTTGATAGTAGGCCTTTTACCATTCTAGATCTCATACGGTCTCTTATCAATTTTAGGTCTAAGGTAAACCCTGTTCACTATGTGACATACAGTGTTGATGGCTTTACCCTAAAAATGCATAGCTAGTCCCTTACCATGAGTATGGCTCTAGCCATTTCTTGAAGCACGCAATTTTCCTCTCAACTACTCCATTTTGTTGTAGAGTGATCGGCGAGGAGAACTCATGCTGGATTTCCTCCTCCAGGCAGAAGTTCTCAAGATTCGAGTTTTCAAACTCTTTTCTATGGTATTTGGATTATGTAGGTTTGATGTTTTCACAAACAAGAATAAATTGAACTACGAAGGTTGAAAGTTATGGATGAATTTGATGAAGTAGATATGAAGCAGTATGTGTTCTCTCAATGTTCACCTTGGAAAAAATCATTCGGAGGCGTGCGGTATTAGGGTTGAATGAGCCAGTAAAAAGCCTTAAAAATACGAATTAAAACTTTTCGGATAATACTGTCGCTCGAGCGAAAGTTTAGCAACAGGCGAGCGACCGATTGTCACTTAAGCGATGGGAAGGTGGTAGGCGAGCGACGATATTTCTGTTTATGCAGCTCGAGAAAAGTCAGGACGATAGTCTAGCGAAATTGCGGCATAGTTTTTCTCCTCTTTTCATACTCGAACCCTAGAACCTACACAACTCAACTTATACAAATTGCACCTTACTCCTTGACTTTTACATCACATTAATTTCAATCCTTTTTGTTCACAAACTTGCCAATTACATTAAAAGCCTAACAAAACCTAACATCTTGGAAATAGAGATGCAGCGTTTCTGAATTTTAAAAAAAGGAAAATGTTCGTTGTAAAATCCTTGTTGACAATTATGGTTGGTGACTTTGGTATTGTCAAAACTCGGACCATTAATTTTAAAGAATAGTTTTTGAAATGGATGAATGTGATGTTAACGAGCGTGAATTGTCAATCTAGACTATCAAATAAAATTGTTCTATGAATTTTGAAAAAATTGAAGAAAAGAGAGAAATTTTGTTGCAATTATTTAAAAGAAGTCATTTTTTATTCTTCGGAAGAATTGAAGAAGAAATAGCATGTGATTTTTGGATTGTGTCATGAATTAATGAGTACTGTTATTTAGCACCACTAATGTTATAGATTGCACCTTATGACATTAAATGAAATGTACAATTCACATAATTCTACCTTTAATTAAGTTTATCACATAATAACATTTAGAATGATGCTCTAGCATTATTATGAATTTATGGTCGTTTTAATTGTGGTTCTTGAGAGTGATTAATGTAGTTTTAAATAAAATTGATCTTTTGAGATGGAATCATAAGCTATTATACAAAAGGGCACAAAAAGTTGATAAGTTGATCAAACGCGACGCCGATTTATAAAGGAAGGAAAAAAAAAAAAAGGTTGGAACATGCTTGTCTCAAGCCACATGGTATTGGTGGTTGGTGGCATAAATAAATATTTATTTATTCTCTTTAACACATGGCACATAGCATGTACATTTACAAATTAATAAATAATCAATCCTTAGTCAGTTGACAGGTGTACTATTAATTGACACACATTCTTGGAATTTACATTATTTGCTAGGTAGATCTGTACTAGACAGGAAATATGAATTATTTCAACATCAAAATCCCTAGACACACACAGTGTTGTCTCTTGAAAACATTATGACTCTGTTTGAGAGGGATTAAATTTTTCTACAATAAATCAATTTTCATTTTCAATCACACATTTTTCAATAAAATAATATTTTTCATCACATCAATAATTTTTTCTTCTTTTTCAACCACACATTTCCCATTATGTCACTATTCAAAATCAATTCTTCCCCCAAAAATCTCTCCCAGACAAACTCTATAAAATATATAGAAAAAAAAATGAAAATTGACATATTTTGAGTTTTATTTATCAAAATAGATCTATTTTTGTTCAAGAACTTATGAAATCTCCGATTAACTATTGCCAAAGCATTGTTTTGTTTCTAGCTCATGTTTAGTTGAACTAAAAATTTGAATTAAAATCTAAGTCAAAATTTAAAATTAATTTTAATCAAATATTTAATGAGACCTATAACTTTTCAACCATATATTTTATTAAATTTTATTAAAAATATGATTTTTTATCTAAACCTAACAAGAACTTCGCTTAAGGTCATCCCATCCGAATTACCTAATTCAATCTTTTATCGAAACAACTCAATGGAGTGAAAATGATGCGAACATTCTACGTATAATATGTTTTGTTATCCTTCTTTCTTATCGGTCTTCAATCTTCAATTCTTCTAGGGTCCCCAACCTAATTATTTTGTAGCTTCAGTCTCCAATGTTTCATTTTGGTAATAATTGGACCTCCTTGACGATTTTATCCTTACCTTAATCATTTTTTTTCTTTTTTGGCTAAAATACAATTTTATCCTTATGAATTGTACACATTTTAATTACATTAAATGTCACTAATTTTTACTTATTGTCATCTTTATGTCCTCAACTTTTTTCATATTTTTTTTGTATTCCCAAATCTTCTATTAATTAGCATAGTCATTAATGATAATTTTCTTTTGATTAACGTAATTTAAAATATTGGGCAAATATTTAGTCAAACTAGGGGTGAGCATGGTCCGATTCGGAGAACTCAACCAAACACGAAATTTTCGGGTATTTTGTAAATGGAATCGTCGGGTCTAAATTTAATTATGAAACTGTTCGAGTTCGGTTCCATTCGGTTCAGTTCAGTTAGATTCGATTTCGGGATTCCGTACAATAATTATTATTTTTTATATTACAACAACGCTACATTAATTCAACTATGATATATTCAATCTTAACCCTTACATAACGCAGTCCAATCTCGTGATGTCTTTTGCACATCTCTTTGTTTAGTTCTTCATAGATTTGACGTTAAAATCTCATGAAAAGGAAGATAACTAGTTCACAATAATAGAATGATAGAAATAACACTACAGTAGAATAAGATATTTGGGTAAATTTTAAATCAATTTGATTAAGTTGGGCTTGGCTAAAAATTAAAAATAATAAAATCATATTTTGGGTTTGTACTAAATTAATTAGTTATCAATTTATTTAAAATAATAATAATAATTTGACTTATTTAAGATAAAAAATTAGGGAGATTTAGTTTTTATTCGATTCTTCGGTTCTTGGTCTAGAACCGATAACCTAACCAAATTCCGTTATTTCTCGATTCAGATATCTGTTCGGGCATTTAATTTAAGAAGAACCGCTCGATTCGATTAAGTTCGGTCCGGGTTCGGTTCGATCCGATTCGATTCGAGAGTTTTGTCCGACCCTATGTCAAACTAGTATTTGTTTTTTATTTACTTATTTAGAAATAGGATCGAAAATAATTCTTTTATGAATTTTTGAATGAAAATTAACATTTGTGACAATAAGTTCTAATTAATGAAAAGTTGAGGTTAAGAATGATATAATTAAAGTTGATGACTTAAGTATGATAGTAAATAAAGATTAGAGACCTTGAATGAAATTAAAATGCGATTCATTTATGAAAGAAATGTTGTATGAAAATAATTATCCCTAAAAAAACTCAAGTCCTATAAAAATAAGAGGTTGGGGGATTGCAGCTGCCAAAATAATAGGTCTACGACCAACTTGCTACATTTCCAATAGGTTGCGACCCCAAGTGTAGTTCTCACTTTTTTAATTCACTAATCATGTTTTTGGCATTAGTTAACACATATTTTTTTCATTAATTGTAGTCAAGTTTGACTATGCTCTTGATTCTTCAAGAGCCCACTCTCTCTAATCTTCCAGTAAATTGAAGATTCTTCTCCCTCCACTCATCTAATCCAACCCTAAAATCTCTCTGTTTCTCTCTAAAAGAATCCATTTCCAAATAAATGATCAATATCGAAAAATCAATTTTAATAAATAAAAACCAATAATAATAAGGAAGAGAAGAAAGGGCCAGTCGAAAAAAACCAGAAGATTATATCATCAATAAAGCATCGAAATCTTCCATAGCACCATCCCAAAGCTCCTCCACGCCATTTTTCTTATTTTGTACAATTATTTTGCAAAAAAATCCTTTTTATTTTTGTTGGAATCATTTTGTCAAACCCTAGACTTGTTCTGTTATTTCAAGAAAAATCTTTAGATTATAGCCACATTACAGGGGATTTCTCATCTGGGTGTTTTTCAAATCTTCAAGATTTTGAGAGTGTAATGTCACAGATGAAGCACATTGATAACACCCCATCAACCCCAGGTAAGTTTAAGATGGAGAAATTCCCATACAATAATAGGCTGAGGATGCATTCATCTCTAGCCAAGCTCACCTTCTGGTCCTTTGTTTTCCTTGGCTTGATCTTTGTGTTCTTTTATAGATCACCTTCTTCTTCCTCTCCTGTCACGTCAGATCTCAATAGGAGGTCCCTCAGAACCAACTTTTATGGTGGTCCTTCCTGGGAGAAAAGGGTCAGGATCTCAGCTAAAATCAGGTCAAGAAATGGGATTTCCGTTTTGGTCACTGGGGCTGCTGGTTTTGTAGGCACCCATGTTTCGGCCGCCCTCAAGCGCCGTGGGGATGGCGTTCTTGGGCTTGATAATTTCAATGACTATTATGATCCTTACCTTAAGAGGGCGCGGCAGGCGCTCTTGGAGCGCACTGGGGTGTACATTGTGGAGGGTGATATCAATGATGTTGCCCTCTTGAACAAGCTTTTCGATATTGTCCCATTTACCCATGTTATGCATTTGGCTGCACAGGCAGGGGTACGCTACGCCATGGAAAATCCTAGTTCCTACGTTCATAGCAACATTGCAGGCCTTGTTAGTTTGCTTGAGGTTTGCAAGAGTTCAAATCCTCAGCCTGCTATTGTGTGGGCTTCGAGCAGTTCTGTTTATGGATTGAATACAAAAGTGCCTTTTTCGGAGAAGGATATGACTGACCAACCTGCTAGTTTATATGCTGCAACTAAGAAGGCTGGTGAGGAGATTGCGCATACTTATAACCATATATATGGTCTTTCGCTTACTGGATTGAGGTTCTTCACGGTTTATGGACCTTGGGGTAGGCCAGACATGGCATATTTCTTTTTTAGTAGAGATATTTTGAAGGGGAAGTCAATTCCGATCTTTGAGGCATCTAATCATGGTACAGTTGCCAGGGATTTCACTTACATTGATGATATTGTGAAGGGTTGTTTGGGAGCATTGGATACCGCTGAGAAGAGTACTGGCAGTGGTGGCAAGAAGAAGGGGACTGCCCAATTACGTGTTTACAATTTGGGGAACACATCTCCTGTACCTGTTTCAGATCTTGTGAGCATTTTGGAGAGGTTACTCAAGGTGAAGGCAAAGAGGATGATTATGAAGTTGCCAAGGAATGGGGATGTGCAGTTCACACATGCTAACATAAGCTTGGCTCAGAGGGAGCTTGGATATAAGCCGACGACAGATCTCCAGACGGGATTGAAGAAATTTGTTCAATGGTATCTCAGTTACTATAGTAATGGGAAGAAGAGTGCACAGTAATGCAATATTTTTTCAGTTGTGTGGTAGAGTCATTCCATTCTTGTTTATTTTGATTCTTATAATTGGTTTTAACCTATCGTCACCCCTCATTATCTTGTTTCCATAAATTTTGATGATGTCATATATGGAGGCAATTCTGAATCCCATGAAGACGAAGCTTTTGTGGTTGGTGTGCATTGCTTGCTTGGACATTCTGGTCACCAAAAGACAACAAACATTTGCGATTCTTGGGAATTGTTGTAGTTTTACCACGGTATAATTCATGTCTGATAAAGCAATATGCTGATTGTTGGACTTGTATCAATTTTATGATATCCAAATAAGTACATGATAATTTGGCTATAACATTCTTTATGTAGATACATTAAATGACTCGTGAATTAAATTATTGCTTAATTACTGCTGTTACGAAGGCTGATGTATTGGATTGTCTACTTTTATCGGTGTATTCATTCGCTACTTTGCTTCTTTACATTGTCTTACCAGCTTACTAGGAGTTTCACATATTGGTCTCTAATGTAAGGAGCTCCATTATAGTACATTTGCTTATGTTCAGGAATTGATTTCCGAGTATTTGGATCCATATAGTAGCTGCCCATGCTTGGAAGCTTGAAAATGCTGGTTTAGGTAATAAAAAATTCTCTTCAATATATATCATTTCATAGAATCTTTCTCTCCTTCCATTCGTACAGATGTTTGCTTATATAGGATTAGACATATAGGAGATGGAAGCTATCATAATTTACGAGGGAATCTTTGAACAAGAACTTCTGTAGCTTAATCTAATGTAGGGCTGCAGTTGAAGGTCTGCACTTCAAGGATGTCTTTAAGAAGTCTCATTTACTTGTGGTCTGTCTTATCATTTATCGAGGGGATGATTTACTAGGAAAAACAACAAATTAAGCTATATTCTCTATTGTTTTAAAAAGCTGCTGAGGCTTTGAGGTGCACAATGCATCTTACTTGGCACTTTCATTAAATGCCTTGAAGTGTACATCTTGTGGCACTTTCAAGGATTATGCATAGATTTAGTGAGGCTTACGATTCGCTTTATTTATGAGTATGCCTCAGGATTTAGCCTCAGGGCAGTTTTGTATCGCGTTTTATGGGCTTTTCATTATTAGGTTCACCTTTTAGGATATTTTAATAGATTAGAATGTTTTACAGATTTTTTCTCTTTCCTTTTTCCTCGCTTAACCTCAGGGATGCTTTTATACGGATTTCATTATTGGCTTCAGCCTTTTGGGCTATTTTTATAGCCTAGGACTTTCTAAATTCTTTTTGTTTTCTTTCTTCTTTTTCCCTTTTTGCCTTCACGCAGAAGGATATGGAGAAAGAATGATTGGAAGTAAATCATCACCAAAAATAATGAGAAGAAAACAAGGTAATGAAAAGGAGGATAGAGAAATCAAATATGAAAGACTTCTAGGTCGTTAATACTCCCAATATTACTAATTTATTTAACTTGAATCAATAGGCTGGAATTAGAGGTTTGCCTTATATGTTAAATTTCGAAGCCTCTGAGCATAGCTTATGAAGATATAATCTAATAAATTGTTAATTGTTGAGGTAAATGGTTAAGAAATTTAAAGGGATAGTAGAAGGAAAATATATAATTGAAAGCCTCAAGCTTGCTTCAGATAGCTATGCTTGTATAGCATCCTCCCCTCACGCGCTTTGTGAAATGTTACAGTTTCATAAAGAAGTTGAGCGTGCCTAGAAGTCATCAGCCCCTAACCCCGTAACTCAAACTACTTCTTGCTCTGCCCTTACTACTATAGCAAATACAGTCTTTACTCCTACTCGCTAACCGGAAGCAAGAGCAAGCGTAGATTTCTTTATCTAGTTGAACAGTGAGAGTGTATAAATGTTACCCGACAAAGGAGGGTAACGCGCAGCCAAAGGCTGTCCCACATTCCGAGGTACCCATACAACATAGTAAGCTATGACTTATTATATTCGGTTTAAAAATGATTGAAATATATAATTACACCAAAAGGATGTAAAAGAAAGACGAATGATCAATAAAATGTGGCATTTAAAGAATTACTGATAATCTAGAACAATAGAAGTAGATTTATCAACAAAGTGCTTTGATTTTATTTATCAATATTCTTTTATTCTCCGGATCTTCAAATTTAAGTTATACTTTTTGAATTGGAGAAAATTTATTTGGGGAATGATAGAAAATGAGAGAGATTACCATATTTTATGTTTCCTGGAACTAGTTAAATAGTTGAACTGCACTTTTTAAGTGTTGTGGAAGGGCATGATATCAATATGAACTTATATAACCTGATATTAAGTCTCCAGGTGAAAGGTTAATTCTTGCAGTGATTTCTATAATAATTTTCATATGTTTACGTTAATTTCTTTCCATCTTTGTGAAGTGATATATGTGATAATTTTCGTATATGATTTATGGTGAAGCCTTTATTAAGTTTTGATCGCGATTTCATCCTCAATGAATACGTACTTCCGTCTCTACTTTTGACTACAATCCAATTGAATAAGAGTTCTTACTGGTATTTCTCATATCTGTGCACTGATCTTTGTCAATCTCTGTTACTAGGAGGATTTGGTTACATATATCAACTTTTTGACCTTTTTAAGTAGATTGTATGATATTTGAAAAGAATTCTGCTATTTAAATTGTGCAGTATGGACCTCTGATGTTCGGACTCTTCGAAATGGCTTGAATACTCGTGTTGACACGATACGATACGGGTACGAGTACGGATATGGGATATGTGTCGGCATTGGCGGATTCGGGATTTTGAGTAAGCACGGACGGTCATTGACGACCGCAATAATTACTAATGTAGTGAATTGAAATTGCTTATATCGTAATTCGAATTGTAAGTGTGTGTATGTTATTTATCATTTTAATAATGTTTAACGAATAACAATTTGAAGTTTGAAAAACGGGTTCAATATTTACTTTCTTGTTTCGATTTGTTAATAATTTCAGTCTAACATAAAAAATGACTATTTTAATAATCTCATTGTAAAGTTGATTTTTAGTTAAAAATATTTTAAAAACAAAGAGGGAATATACTTATTATTTGATAAAAGATCATATATAATTTTGTTACATTAAATATTAATATCCACCAAATGCATAGTTGTTAAATGTTTCATAATTCCAATGTAGTTCACTTCGAATTTTCCAATTGCACTGATTTTTATAATGTCCATATGCTCCAAAATGATGAAAAATATTAAACTAAAATAAATTTAAACTTGATTGCTATAGTTGAGATTTGAACCCAAGACTCATTTATTTAGATGATACTCTAACCTATTGAACTACCAAAGCATTATATGAATAAAAAGAAATCACAATTACATATCCAAATAAATAAATACATTGACAAAATAAAATAAAAATTGAATGTCGATGTATTTAGCACGGACGGCCGCCAGAGCTTGCCGAGTACTGGATCTGACGCTGTGTGTTGAATCCTCCAAGTTTCAACCTAGACATGTCGAGTGGGTGTAGAAAGGCCGCGACCCTAGTTTTCCCTCATTCTTCTTCTTTATTCTTTTTCTTTTCCCTCTCTGTATCGGTGGTTTAGAGTTTTATTTGTATAAAATGAAAATAGATTAGTGCTCCACTAAGTCTAATTTGCAATCAAATTTCTCATTTTCTATTTTATATAACATTTAGTAATTAATTTTCCATAATTGAAAATTAAACCTCAAAATTCTGTTTTATTTATCTCAACCCTTATTCATCACTCATTTTATTTTTTGTGAACAATTGATTTTGATCTGTTCAAAATGATATTAAATTGTTAAAAAAATTGAAATTTGAAAGACATATCCACTTACCCGTGTTTGAAATTTGAACTCTTTTTAGTCACGTACTTGTATCTTATATTTTAGAAAATAAAAAATTCAACACTTACATATATACCCGTACCCGATACTTGTATCTTGAGTCCAAGTATCATAGGTATGGACCATAATTTCTATGTCCTCAATCTCATCTTGCTTGTTGGTTCAAGGTATTCCCTTTGTCATAATATATTTACGCCATGTTTGGTATATGTTGAATTGTATAGCACTTGATTGTACTATGGATGAAACTTATTGTTCACGGTACTATCCAGTACTATGTATCAATTATGTCTTACTATGTATTGTCTGGGTGTGTTTTAAATGCAAGGATATTGTAGGGAAAAAGCTTCATTAACTGTACATCGATTACAAGTCTTTGATGTCAAGGCGGGATTCTCATCATAGAAATGTCTAGTCGTTTTGGCCGCTAATAACCAATATCTGTTACTACGACATGTTCGAGGCCCTTATGGGATGTTTGGTTTGAGTTTGAGTTTTCTGATTTCATATCCTATTTTAAGATAAAAGAGAATACGTTTGTTTGTCATTCTGAAAATCTATTTTTCAAAATAAAAAATTGGAAAATACGTTTAATTTTGAGATTTTTAAAAATTGTTTTAAGACAATTTATTCAATGAATTAAATTATTTAGTAAAATAGAATAATTTTATACTCATATTATCAAGTAATATATACACTTAAAAGTTAGTGAATCTTACAGTGATTTTCTCCGCTTAAAAAATAAAATAATAATAATAGTAAATTCACTTGGCAAAAAAATATGATACTTGATAAAAATTAATAACTTGAGCTAAGAATTATAAAATGTTAATGATAAGATTTCATCAAGCATATAATTTAAAGTGAATTAAGTTTACAAGCTTAAATACTGATAACAAAAATAAATGTAGTTGAAAAATTAAAACAACAAAATAAACCTGTAGATTCATGTACGAGTCACCAAGTAATCATTACACATTTGTACAGCAATTTGATCTCTAACTTGCCACATTTGAATTGTTTGACTAGCATCGAATTGTCTGACATCTTGATCAACACATGATTCCGACATATCTTCAAATATTATATTTTTTGATGAATATTGAGGGAAAAGTTTATCCAAAGCGTACTCCTGACGAATGAAATTATGTATTGTG